CTCACAACAAACCTAGAGGGAGATACTATTATTATTCCTTTTTTACAGAGAAAGAAACCAAGGCACAGAGATTAGTTAAGTTAAAATGTTCATATAACCAGTAAGAGACAGAGTCTGGATTCAAAACTATGCAGTCTGACCCTAGACTTCATGCTCTTTTTTTTTTTTTTTTTTTTAAAGTAGGCTCCATGACCAGTGTGGAGCCCAACGCAGGGCCCAAACTCACAACCCTGAGATCAAAACCTGAGCTGAGATCAAGAGTCAGATGCTTAACTGACTGAGCCACCCAGGCACCCCTAGACTTCGTGCTCTTAACCATTATGCTAACACAGTTTCTATTTCTGCTATGTTAGTTTTACATAAAATGGGTAACTTACCTTCTTAAAATAAGAAAGTGAGAAACGAGCCTATTATAGATACACATCATTAGAACTTCAGAGATGTGGCACAATAGCTGGTGCTTAGTTTTTCTGAGAGGTGTCCCTGCCTTCACAGAGCTTATGGAGTTAGGGAATCAGAACATACATCCAAAATGTATGATAGTACCCTTGGGATAGGATGGGTACAAATGAGGAGGACATACAGGACTGGCTACAAAAGTTGAGAGGAGGAACTAATTTCTAAGGACTGAGTCAGCATAAAAGGCTTGATGGAAGAGATGGGTCTGAAAAGAGGAATAAAATTGGTAGGTGGAAGCAAAGAGCAAAAGTGGTGTAAGCAAGGAGAACTACCTGAGCAAAATTATGGATGAAGTACCAAGAAAAGATGCCATTGTTTAAATGTTTCATGTATGGAGGTAATAAGCAATGAGGCTTGAAAACTAAGGATAATATTTGGGAGGTAAGTGAATGCCAGGTTAAGGAATTAGGATTTTATCCTCTATTTTATTTATTTACTTATTTTTTGAAGTAAGCTTTACACCCAATGTGGGGCTTGAACTCACAACCCTGAGATCAAGAGTCATGTGCTTTACTGATTGAGCCAGCTGGGCACCCCAAGATATTACCCTTTAGACCTGGCCTGTTCAATACAGCAGTCACTAGTTAGATGTGGCTAAGGAACACTTAAGATGTGGCAAGTCCAAATTGAGATGAGCTATACAGGTAAAATACACTGAATCTTTAGTATGAAAAAACAATGTAAAATGCCTCATTAATAATTTCTACATTGATTATATTTTGAAATGCTCATACTCTGAATATATTGGGTTAAATAAAATGTATTATTAAAATTCATTTCACCTGTTTCTTTTTACTTTCCTAATGTGGCTACTGGGAAATTTAAAATCATATATGTGGTTTGTATTTGTGGCTTACATATTTCTATTGGGCAACAATGCTCTAGAAAACGAAAAATGAAGACATGAGCAGGGATTCATGTAAAAAGTGTTTTAAGAAGTTTATTCTGGTATAAATAAATTCAGATTGTAAGACAACTGATTTGGTTTTTCAATAAGTCAATGGCAGGAAAAGAAAAAACAAAATCAAGATAGTAGTGAAGTGGGATTGCTACAGCTTAAAAAATACTAAAGAGACAGAACAATCAAATGCAACGTGTAGCCTTTGTTTGGATCATGATTCAAGCAAACGAACCATAAAAAGACATTTCTGAGACAACTAAGGAAATAGAGACTAGATACTGTCGATGAATTATTGATCATTTCAGTAGAATGACATTATGGAGATGAAAGAAAAAGTTGCAAACTAAAGTATGCTTTACTGATGTGAGCTAAAGTATGTCGAGATGAAATGACTGAACACTTGGGAACTGCTGGGGGAAAAAGGGTGTACCTCTTACTATCTAAACCTAAATAAATACATACATACACACAGCACACACACACACACACACAAATATGAAAGTATGAATTGAGAAAATTGAGGTACTGTGATCAGACTTTTCAGAATCTGACTTAAAAAAGGGAATAAAAGAGAAAACACAATCAAAGTAATGTGCTCTTGCTGTAAAAACTGGATGATCTGAGCTTAACTATGAGGAAGGACTAAGCAGTGGAAAGGGGGGTATTTGAGGGCTAAAAAGTTCAAGGGGGTGTCATTCTGTATAGGAGGTATTCAGAACAACACTTAATTCTATCACACATTTCCTTAGGACCACACAGAAGGTATGAAGGTATGTTGGAACCAGGACTAAAATCAGATCCTCTGACTTGGCATAATGCTCTTTTGTGCCTAATTTTAAACATGACAAAATTCTATGGAGAGCCCAATTTATACTTTTTGCTTTAGTTTTTCTTTCTTATGTCAGTTATTCTTTATACCATCATTAAATAATTGACCATATTAAAATATTTTATTTAATGTACTTAGGTTTATCTTGACTACTTCTCAAACTGAGATTTGGTAGAAGAAAGGTAAAAAAGAAGGAAAGCAAATTTAAGCAGTAATAACAACATAACTATTTTAACATCTCCAAGTGAAATTTAAATCATTCTGCCAAAACACAAGATGCAGTTTCACCTCTGGGAACAATGCAAGGAAGAGAGGTCAACGTGAGCCAAGTAGTAGAGAGAAGAGACAATAAAAGGGAACAACAGAAGGAAAGGGAGAGGCAAGAAGGAAAAAACTACCAAAAAACCTAACAGTGCCCATTTGTAGGGCCCAGCAACTGCCTCAAAGCAGAGCGGTTTATTCTTTTTCCGTAAGCTTGGAAAGATTGCCTGGCTTCCCTGGTAATATGCACACTTACTAAGAGTCCTGTTCTGCTGCTATACAATTAGCTATTTGGCCTTGATCCTTGGTTTGCTTCCTCATCTACCAAATGGGAATATTAACACCTGCCTTACTGGTTTCACTGGATTGAAGTGAAAGTGAAGCAAGTTGGTAAGTATGAAAGGACTTTGAAAAGTTATCGGTTGCTAAGATCATCTACAAGAAATAATTAAGTTGAACATCTTTTCTAGAAAAAAACTATTAAAACTGAAAAAAAAAAAAAACCCAACCCACCTTCAATCGGTATAGGTTTTCTCTTAATTTTCGAATGAGAACATTCTAAGGGAAGTGTAAAGACGAGGGAGGAATTAGATCTCCTCATCCTTCACAGGCTCCTACCCCACCACTCCCCTACCCTCCTCCCCAGCCCGAGAACTGTCACCAACCACCAAAGGACTGGGAGCAGGGTAGGGTAAGCGGAGGAAGCCCGGGGCGAAGAGGGGGGTGGTGCTCGCTGAGGGAGAGGAGAGACGCCACAGTCTCGGACTTGGAACTAGAGGGAGTTAGAATGAGGCGAAGGACACCTTTTTCCAAAGCTCGGGCACTTACTGCTTGTAACTCCTTGGAAGCGAAGACTGGTTACTATAGCGACCGCGTCCAGGAGGGCGGAGCGCCCCTTGCGTTCGGTGCCTCGGCCACAAGGGCTCGACTAGAAACGTGGTCACGTCAGGGCAATGACTTCCGGCGGAAGGAGAAGCCGGTTCCGGGTTTTGGCCGACTTCAGGCGAGGAGTGGGTGATGAGGACTCTAGGAGTTTGGTAAGTTCGATATCGAGTAAGGCCAGGAGAGGGTAGCCGTTTGTGGGTGGGCGGTACAGCCGAAATGAATACAGTGGGTTCCTAAGTCTCGATTTGAGCCCTAGCCGCACCCCCCCGCCTTGAAGTTCACAGCTGTGGGAAGAGGTTGCTTGATTTCTGGGGCTCCTGGCGAGGTCTCTTCGGTAGTCTAGAGAGCTGGAGTATTCTCCTCTGAGCAGTTTCAGGAGCTCTTTCTTTGTAAACGCCAGTAACCGAGGGACTCATGTTGTCTACCTGCCCGAGCTGTTTCCCGTATTATTCTTTTAAGGTAATCTGGAAGAAATGTGAACTGGAAACACTAAGAGGGAATGCTCCCAAATTCATTTTAATTCTTTGCTGTTTTGTTTTGCTTTCAACATTTTTTAAATTCTGTCAACATTTATTAAATTCCTCTATTGTGTTTAGTGAGTATTTACTATGTGCGGCTTTTACCACGAGACAAGCAGAAATACCTTCTTAGAGGGCATCCACCGCTCGCGTTCATTTTCGAATTGTTTTCTTAATGCTATTGTAATTCATTAATTTAAGGTACAAGCGTGTATCATGAAACGTGAAACAGATTTCCCATACTTGTCTGTATACTTACACATGAAATTGTTGGGGCGTTTTCAATGAAAATACATCCTTCATCACGTTTGCGTTATAATCCTGATTTACTCAACTATTAAAGAACTTAGGAAACTACTTGCTTATTTCTTCGATCCTGCAAACTGTAATGAATTGTCATCAATATTTTTATTCAGCTGATCTGAGAAGGCCCACTTCTTGTTCAATGGATGATGGCAGTTGAGCAGATACCAAAAAAGGATTGGTACAGCATTCTGGGGGCAGACCCATCTGCAAGTGTGTCAGACCTAAAACAAAAGTATCAAAAACTCATATTAATGGTAAGTCATTTCTTAAAGATTTAAATCATGGGGGGGTAAACAGGTTTTTTTATGTGACCTGAGATTTAGGTTTCTGTAAAATGAATGGGAATATCAAAGCAGGAATTAGGATATTAATGTGATTAATTGAAAGTTTCAGTAATATTGTAAAAAAAATTTTTTTTTAAATTTGAGGTGGGAAAACATGGTGGTTTGGAGCAGGAGATCTTATTCATACTGATTGATTTAGAATCCTGATTCTACCACTAACTGTGGGAACTTGGGACAAATTACTTTCCCCTGTATGTGCCTCAGAGAGAATTAAATGAAATAGTCCAAGTAAAATGCTTAGAAGTATGTCATGTAATAAGCAGTGTTAGTATCCTGTAGCCACTAGCTACGTGGTGTCTGTTGATCACTTGAAATGTGGCTAGTCCAAAATGAAATTTATTATAAATGTAAAATGCATTTGAAGACTTAGTATAAAAAGAGAATATAAAATAATGTAAACTTTATGTTGATTACATCTTGAGGTAATAATATTTTGGGTTTATTGTTATTTTGCATATTTTGTACATAATATACGCACATATATTTGCATATAGTATACTTATATTATCAAAATGGATTTAATCTGCTTTTTACTTTTTTAACAAAGCATATGGCTTACATTTATAGTTTGTGTTATGTTTTTATTGAATGGTGCCAATTTAAGCCATTTATACACTGTTTTTCATGTGACTCCATTCTTTGGTGAAATGAGTTGTGGTATTTATATAGTATCTTTCTGAACTGTTTAATTTTTTTCAACCTATATTGTGATGTGTCTTAAGTCAATATCAGTAACTCTATAATGGTTTCCCGTTAACCCAGTTTACAAAAGGGGTAGAGGACCATTACTTATACAGCATTAGTTGTTTCTGTAGTTTTTGTCAAATAGATCTGAGATTTTGCCAAAACTATTAGTGTTTATTGTGAGAGATGTGGATGTTTTACCATCAGGAATGTATTAATATCCCTTCTTTAGGTAATAAGCTGACTAAATGATGTTAAGATTTCTTTTATCTCAGAATTTTTAGGATTTCTCTAGACTTGATTGAAATTTTTTTCCTACTACTGAATCATACTTGTGCCTCGTTTAAACAGAGATGAGGCTGGAGAAGTAGACTGGGTCTAGATCATGCAGGCCTTGTAGGCCACGTTGACCTTTAATTTGTCAAGGAGAAGGAATTTACATTTAATATGGTAGCATCAGTCAAACACCAAAGTGAATCAATCATTTTGCATACCCTTCTGTAACATATCAGAGAGTCCCATTTGCTCTAAATCTTCACCAACATTTGATGCTATTTGTCTCTTTCGTCTATTGGGAGTTTCTCAGTTTTGCCACCATTAACATTTTGGACAGGATAATTCTTTGTTATGTGGGGCTGTCCTGTGCCTTGTGGGATGTTTAGCAACATTCTAGATGCCCGTAACAACTAAAAATGTCTCCTGGTGGTCAAAATTGTAAACCTCCCCATCCCATTGAGAACCACTGCACAATTCTGTATTTATAGTGATCTCTCAAGTGGTTTTATTTTGTATTTCTCTGATTAATGATTTTAAGCACTTTTAAATGTTATTTTTAGTCATTTGTATAATTATCTTTTCTGAAGTGTCTTTTTAAAAAATTAAGTACATTCTTGATCTTGTGTATACATTGTGTATATTTTCTCCTAGGTGTTTTTTGATAAGCAGATTTTTGTTTTGATGAAATACAATTTATCACATTTGTTTTTTGATTACTGCTTTCTGTGTCTTTAAGAAGGTCATGAAAATACTGTTTTTTTTCTATAAGCTTATAGTTTGCTTTTACCTTTAGACCTCTGACTCTTTTGTGTATGGTGTGAGGGGAGAGGTCATGTTTTTTTTTCCCTCAGTATGGATATCCAACTGTTCACTTACTGCAGAGATTTTCTTCTCTGCATTATATTGTCAATGTCTTGGCAGTGAGGGTTTATTTCTAGATTCTATTTTGTTTGGTATATTTGTCTGTCCTTTTACTAATACCTCTGTCTTGATTACTATAGTTTTACAGTCTGTTTCAAAGTCATGTGAAGTTAAGTTCTTTAATTTTATCCTTCTTTTCAAGTTTATTTTGGTTATTTTAGTTTGCTTGCATTTCCACAGAAATTTAGAATCAGCTCCTAAGTTTCCATTTAAAGAAATCCTGCTTGAATTTTAATTGTGACTGTATTGAATATATATCCATTTGTCGGAATGGACATTTAACAATATTGTGTCTTCTAATCCATGAATATATTATGTCTCTGCATTACATAAATTATCTTTAATTTCTCTCAGAAATATTTTAGAACTTCCAGTATAGTACTACACTTCATATTTATTTCTAGTTTTTGGTGTTTTTGGTTCTATTGTAAATGGTATTTTACAATACCGGGGAGAAACAGAGAGGAGAGAGAGAATCTCAAGCAGACTCCCTGCTGAGCGTGGAGCCTGTCCTCTTGTGGGGCTTGATCCCACGATCATGAGATCATGACTGATCCAAAAAATCAAGTCAGGTGCTTAACCAACTTGGCAGTTTCTGTTTGTTCATTTGTTTCTAGATTCTGCATATAAGTGAAGTCATATAGTGAAGTTCCAGAGGGGAGGGGGTTGGGGGGATGGGTTAGCCTGGTGATGGGTATTAAAGAGGGCACGTTCTGCATGGAGCACTGGGTGTTATGCACAAACAATGAAGGGCATGCCCCTTCTGTAAGTGTAATAGACACTTATGGATGTAATTATTGACAGTGTTTGGGTTCAAATCAGTAATCTTCTTTTTTACCCCTTTGGATTTGTCCTGTCTACTTTTTCCTCTGTTTTGCCTTTCTTACCATCTTTTGGGTAAATCAAGTATGCTTTATTATTCTGTGTTATTTCCTTTGTTGAATTTTCTATTATGCTTCTCTGTGTGTTTTTTAGTGATTTTTCTAGAGATTAAATATAATAAGTTGTCAAAGTTTACCTTCAAAAAAATGTTATTACTCCACAGTGTAAGAACATTACAACAGCACACTTCATTTACTATCCTCCTTCCCCTTTGTTTTTACTTTCAAAGTTAAGATACGCTGTAAACTCTGGAGTATAATGCTATTTTAAATATTTCTACTCAGTATTCTTGTAAAGAGATTTATTGGTATGTATTATGTATCATATTTTTTTTAATGATGTTTCTATGTGGTATTACCTTTTTTCCATCTATGGAATTTTTTGCCTTCATTTTGGAAAGATTTTTTATTTCCACTGGCTGGAGAACTGTAGATTGACAAGAGTTTGTTGGGTTTTTTTTTCCTTTTAAAAGCTTGTTTTAGATTGTTTCTGATGAGAATTCAGCTATTAATTCATATCCTCGTTCCCTTCTTTTTAATGTATCTTTTTATCTCTGGTTACATTCAAGATTTTCTCTTTATCTTTTGGTTTTAGTGGTTTCTCTGTCATGTGCCTAAAATGTGGGGGTTTTTTGTGTTTATCTTTCCTAGGCTTAACTGAGTTTCTTGGATTTGCGGTTGATGCCTTCCTTTTGCTGCTTTTGGAATATTTTCAGCCATTATGTCTTCACATTTTTTTTCCTGCTCCATTCTTCCTCTCTTTTCCTTTTGGGATTCTAATTACATATTAGATTGTACCACAGTTATTGATGCGCTATTCTTTTTTCCCCTAGTCTTTTTTTCTGTTTGTATTTCAGTTTGCATAATTTCACTGAACCTGTCTTCATTTCACTGTCTCTACTGTGTCCATCTGCTGATAAACTCATTAAAGAAATTCTTAATCTCTGTTATCTAATTTTCATATCTGGCATTTCTCCTGTCTCCTTTTTTTGTATGGTTTTCCTATGTCTTCCATCTTTTCACACATATTATGTACCACTTCCACCAGCTCATCTAATATACTTAACTGTAGTTATTTTATTTATTTTATTATTTTTTTTTAACTAGTTATTTTAAAGTCCTTGTCTGATAAGTCTAACATCTAACCCAGAGATGGTCTATATCCTTTCTTGATGGTGGACCACATTTTCTTGGTTCTTTGCATTGTCTTACCATTTTTTATTGAATGACAAAAATTGTTTGCAAATGAAAAGTAGACATAGAAGTAAATACTATCTGTACTCCTAGGCATGGGCATGCCCCTTCTGTAAGGCAGTTTGTGTGGTGCACAAGTTAAGTCAGTCTAGCCTGTAATTGAGCTGAGTTCTGGTTGTCGTTGCTTTAGTGATTCATTTCACCACAGGCTTCAGATGATTTGAGCAGGATCAGCACCATCCCTTTAGCAGAGCTTGAGTCCCGTCAGGATTTGTCTCAGCTTTCCTGTCCTGTCTGTGGACTTCAGCAGACCCCCTGCATGTGAAGAATGGTGTCTCTCAGTCTCTTCCAGTTTTCCTGTCTCTCTTTTAGTTATGGATGACTGTTGCCTGGTATTTAGAGTGAAGTCTGTATTCCTTGGAGGGTTTCTCTCAGTTCTCCAGGACTGCTCTCTAACTTCAGTGGGCCACCTGTGCCAGTGCCTCATGAGGTGACTCTTGGCTCACCCGCCCTATCTCTGTTCTTTCTTGTGAGCACTTGGCAAACGCCTGTGGGATAGAATTGGTGGGCGGGTACAGTCTCTATACCTTTGGGTGCCCGGGAACTCTAAATTGTCATGCCAGTCTGTAGTCGGCCTTTAAAATTGATTAAAAGTTTGTTTTCTTTCTTATCTATGTCTGTGATGGCTTCCTACTCCTGCTGCTGTGCCAAAGATAAAACTAGTGACAGGTTTCTTCTCTTCTGGGGAGGGTCTTTTCGCTTTGAATTTGGATTCATTGGGTTTCTTTGAATTCTCAGTTCCCTATTTTAAAAACAAAACAAAACAAAAAAACTGAGTTTGTGGGGTATCTGGCTGGTTCTCCTGGATTATTCCTATCAGCATTAAACGTACCATTATTTCTCCCATCTTTGAAAAAACAAAACGTTTTTCTCAACCCATTTCTGCCACTTGTT